TTAGCTAAAACCTCAGACTGCTCTTCTAGCAGATCTTCTGTCATAGGTGCTGGTTCCTGGGTTACTGGAATGTAGAGAGGTTCTCCATTATGCAGCAGTGTAAGTTTCCCATGCTGATAGAGCCTTCCTTCTGGCCTTAAATTTGCCATATCCTTAGGTCCTCCTTTCTTGCCACTGTCTTGTCCATTTCCTTTAAGTTCTTCAGTATCACTTAGGCATTCAAAAAATTCTTCTTCACTGTCACTCCAGGAATCCCAAGATTTTCCTACCTCTCCCTTTTCCTTATCTGTTTCTTTTAGATTATCTGGGCCCAACTGGTCTCCAGCTTTTCCAGCGTCCCCTGGATATAGATGAGTGACATTATCTGAAGCACTTGTCTTTTTCCCCTCATCACGTGCCTTCTTTCTTTCAATACAACAGTTTAACATCTGTAGTTTCTGATGCAGTAAACAACACCTCAGATCTGGGGGTCCATTTGCTAATCCTGGAATCAGAAAGTTGTTTTCCCATCGAAAATGGATTTCAAGAACAAATTCCTGCCAGAGGTGTGCCACTCCTTTCAACCCTCCATGGTAAAAATTGATCATACAGAGACACAAAGCCAATTTGTATGTTAAACTGTCAGATGGTGCAGACTTGAACTGATTGTAGAGATTATAGTCTTCACTCTCCGATGGAGGATTATTATTATCTGTTGAAGTAGTTCCATCTAATGTTTTCTCAGAAGCAGCATCAGGGAATAAGAACAGGAGAATAGTATTGAGGACATCATTATTCAGCGGTGACTCTTCTACACCTCTGTGTTTTCGGATTTTCTTCTTTGCAGTATGGACCATATTTGAAACTGATAATTTATGAATCGGAACTGGTGTTGGCTCTGTCAATTTTGACAAAGCATGAGATATATCAGCAATTTCTTTGCCTTCTTCCTCAAATGCTGATCGTCCAAGAATCTCATCAGTTGACTCCTTTCGACGGCAAATTTTAAAAAATTCTGTGACAGAATCACCTAGCAAACACTGAGGATTCTCAGCTTTTTGAACTCTCACAGACCAATGCGGAGCTTGAATAGGGTCCAAATCAGAATAAACATCATTATCCACAATGATCCCTTCAGTCAGATGAGGCCAGGTAGTAGCTAAATGAAGTTCACTAATAGGATCTTTGCAGGCACCAAATGGTAACTTGCCAAACTCCAAGCCTCCAACTTCTCCTCCTACGAGTGCATCTATGTCTGGAGGTTGCTGAGGCCAAAAATACTGCTGCCAATCTTGAAGTACATAGGTAAATCGAATAGCAATACTAACTGGAGGCAATGGAGTTAAAGGACATCCAATCTTTGATTTGAAGATATCCAGCAGACCTGATAAGTGAGTGTACTGATTTGGCACTTTTCTAAGATGAACCATTTCAAAATCAGTTCGTACACCAGGACCTTGACATTCTCCTACATACATTCTTCGCCATTTCCGGTGAATTTGCACGAAAAGTGGCACCTGACAGCCAGTGTTTCCCAAGGCAATAGAAACAGAACTCAGAAGAAGGTTGCACTTAGATTCACTGAGAACAGCATCACTGTGTGCAGCCGGGGCAATCACCACGAACTCTCGCAGACCATACCATCTTACCAGGCAATGTGCTCTTGGAGGAAAGTCATTATTCATACACAGCAAATCTTGCATAGATTGTGGAATAACATCCTCTAATAACTCATCCTTTCCTTCTTTATCAGTGGACTCTTGTACAAGATAATGATGAGTGACTGAGAACTTGAAGTCAGCAAAGGAAATTTCATCTGATTTCTCTTCCGATGTGCCAGAAGTAAATATACCCTTTTCAAGTGGCTTTCCCGAAGAATTGCCAATCAGTTTCCAGTCATTCAAGACTTCTTCAACTTTGGAAATAAACCTTTCCCATTCCGAGGCCGTGGTGAAGTCCGTGATCTCAAATACCTCGGATTCGGGCTCACTGTCAGCAGCCATCTTGAAGAGCGCCAATCACATGATCTTTAACAAAGGAGCAAAGCCAATACAATGGAGAAAAGATAGTCTTTTCAAACATATGCAGATGGACCAATAAGACAACCGCATGCCAAAAAAAGAAAAATTAGATCTTTCACAAAAATTTATTTAAAAATGAGCCACCGTTCTAAATGTAAAATGCAAAACTATAAAATTCCTAGAAGATAACACAGGAGAAAATCTAGATGGCCTTGCATATGGTAATGACATTTTTAAATACCGTGTCAAAGGCACAATCTATGAAATAAAGAATAAGCTGGAATTCATTAAAATGAAAACTGCTATTTGAAAACTACTGTCAAGAGAATGAGAATGCAAGCCACCAACTGGGAGAAAATGTTTGCGAAACACGTTATCTGATAAAGGACTTTTATCCAAAATATACAAAAAAACTTATAAAACTTAGTAGGAAAACTAACAACCTGATTAGAAAATGGGCGAAGACTTGAACAGATACCTCACTGAAGAAGATACGGAGATGGAAAATAAGTATATATAAAGATGTTCAACATCATGTATCATAAGGTTGATACAGATTAAAACAGTGAAGTCCCACGACACACCTATTAGAATGGTCAAAATCCAAAATGCCAACAGCAAATCCTGGTGAGGATGTGAAGCAGCAGGAACTCTGATTCATTGCTGGTGGGAATACAGAATGGTGCAGCCACTATGGAACATCAGTTTGGTAGTTTCTTACAAAACTAAACATACTCTTGCTATGTGATACAGCAGTCATGCTCCTTGGTCTTCATCCGCAGAAGTTGAGAACGTATGTCCACACAAAACACTGCACATGAATGTTTATATAAACGTTATTCATAATTGCCAAAATTTGAGAGCAAACAAGGTGTTCTTCAGTAGTAGATTAATAAACAAACTGTGGTACATCCAGACAATGGAATATTATGCAGTGCTAAAATGAAATGATCCATCAGGCCATGAAAAGACATGAAGGAACCTTAAATACATACTACTAAGTGAAAGAAGCAAATTAAAAAGGTAGCATTCCTACTATATGACATCCTGGAAAAGATAAAACTATGGAGACAATAAAATGATAAGTAGTTGTCAGGGGTTGGGAGAAAGGAGAAATGAATAGGTGGAACACAGATAACTTTTAGGGTAGTGTAAACACTCTGTATGATCCTAAAATGATAGAAACTCATTTCTATATTGTCCAAATCCATAGCATGTACACCATCAAGAGTGAACTCTAATGTAAACTGTGGACTTTGGGTGATAATGACTTGTCGGTGTAGGTTCATCAGTGCTACAAATGTACCATTGTTGGGAGACATGGAAGTTGGGAGACTGTGTATGAGTGGGGAGATATGCGAAATCTCTGTACCTTCCACTCAATTTTGCTGTAAACTTAAAACCGTTCTAAAAAATAAATTCTATTTAAAAAGTGGTGCTAGAATCAATGGATATCCATATTAAAGGAACAAAAACAAAAACAAACCCTGAACCTTAATTCTTTAAAAAATTTGTATAAATTTAAAGCATACAAGTACAGTTTTATTACATGGATATATTACATAGTGGTAAAGTCTGGGCTTTTAGTGTAACCTAATAGTGTACATTTTGCACATTAAGTAATTTCTCATCCTTCGCCCTCTTTGACACTCCTACCCTTCCTGTTCTTCAGTGATGAGTATTCCCCATTCTATGACCACATGTACACGTTATTTAGCTTCCACTTATAAGTGGAAACATGCAGTATCTGACTTTCCATTTCTGTGAATCTCAAATCTTATCTCACACTATACACAAAATTAACTCAAAATGTATTATAAACCTAAGTGTAAAGAAAATAAAAGAAAATATAGAAGTCTTTGTGATTTGGTAATACACAAAGATTATCTTGACCATAAAACAAAAATATTAACACACTGGACTTCATCAAAATTAAAGCATCTGGGCTTTGAAATAGAGCCTTAAAAATAAAAGGCAAGGCATAGATTTGGAGAAAATATTCATAGTATACATTCCAGACAAAGGATTTGTATCCAGAATATACAAAGGTGTCATTATAAAAATTAGGCAACCAATTTTAAAATGGGGAAAAGATTTGAACATGAACTTCACAAAAGTTACACAAGTAAGTGCATGAGGAGATGCTTAACATCCTAATCATTAGGGAAATGGAAATTTAAAAGCAATAAAAAATAAAAGCACCCATGGAGATACCACTTCACATCTGCTAGAATGTCTATAACTAAAAAGACACAATATCAAGTGTGTGTGAGGATGTGGAGTAATTCTCCAAACTTCTCATGCATTCCTGGCAGAAACGTCAGGAAGGAAAAGAAATTGTGGACATCAATTTGGTAGTTTCTTATGAAGTTAAATATATATTTAGTATGTGACCCAGCAGTTTCACTTCTAGGCATTTACTGAGAAGAAACTAAAACATATGCCCACACACAGACTTGTACATGAGTGTTCATAGCAGCTTTATTTGTAATGTATAAAAACTGGAAAAATAGAAATGTCTCTCAACAGATATTATGGGTAAACAAATTTTGACATATTCACACAATACCAGTCAGAAATAAAAAGGAAGAAAGTATTGATACATAAAACAAGAATGAATTTCAAAATTATGCTGAATGAAAGAAGCCAGACAAAAAGGAGTATATACTGTATGTTTTCATTTATATAAAATTCTAGACAATGCAAACTGATTTATAGTTGACAGGAGTGGTTTGGAGAGGGAGGAGGAGGATTGTGATGGGTTATGAAGGACTGTTTCATAGTGATAGATATGTTCACATCTTCACTGTCATGATCTTCATGGGAGTGTACATATGTCAAAACCTTAACGCTTTGCTCTTTGTTGTATGTAAATTATACCCTCATAAAATTGATTTAAAAAGTGAAAAAGTCAGCTATCATTAATCTTTTCTTCTTTTCTTTGGTTACCCTCTTTCTTAGTATATTTGATATGTCTGGCTTTATATGTTTTACTTTCAGATGATTCATTCCGGACTCGTAATGCCAGTAGTGTTCCACCTTCCTTTTCTCCTAATACTACCTTACCGAGTACTTCCCGTGGGACAGGTAACTCACTTGATCCCAAGAGCAGTGGAAGTAAAGATACACAACCACGGAAGGCGACCTTGTAAGTAATCAAGTGATGTCGGACTGAGTGTATCGTCCTACTCTTTTTTGTCAACACACTTTCCTTCCCACTTAAGTACTTTCCAAAGAATAGAAAATGTCTATAATTAGAAAATGTTGAAGGTATTATTGTCACATGTGACTCTGTTATGTTTTTATAGAATGACTTGTATATGGCAAAGACATTTGTAACCTTAGGGAAGCAGAAAACATTTAAATGGCTCCCACTAGTATCTGAGATCTTTTTTTTTTCTATGAAATGTTTGCATTTAGGTAATTTATCTCTAAGACATCTCTCTAAACACCTAGCTTAAGGATATGGTATTTAATCACCCAGTGTGCAGAAAGATGGGTACAACTAATGTCACTTAAGAAATAAGTGGCAGCATGGAACCCAGAATTGTGAGTCCAATAAACTGGAGATATTTACAGACTATATTATGTCTTGAAGTTGAAGTTATAAAGAGCCTCTGTTCTTTCCCCCCATCGTTCTTTTTAATGTGCTACTCATTTCTTTTAGCTTAAATATTTAAGAGAGGGAGTACCATAAAAATCACCATGGTAAGAGACTATATCAAGGCATAAATGATTCAGCCAGGATACCCAAATCATGGTTACAAGCTAGCCATTTCATATAGGACACCTGAACCTTCTGGTTGGAACAGACTTTAAACAAGATTTAGATTTTCTTTTAAACATATGTTTGTGAATGCATGGGCATTTTTGAATAAAGTTTTAAAAATGCATTCTTTTGTAAAAACTCTATGCCAGAGTCCCTTTTAGGATCTGATTTAGGCTGTTTTGCATTGCTATAAAGAAGTACCTGGGACTGGGTAATTTATAAAGAAAAGAGATTTAATTGGCTCATAGTTCTGCAGGCTTTACAGGAAGCATCTGCTTCTGGGGAGACCTCAGGAGGCTTATTTTTCTGTTAGAAGGTGAAGCAGGAGCAGGCACATCAAATGGTAAAAGCAGGAGCAGGAGAGAGAGAGTAGGATTGGAGGAGGTGTCACACAGTTTTAGATGATCAGAGCTTGTGAGAACTCACTATCGCAAAGACAACACCAAGCCACGAGGGATCCGCTCCCAAGATCCAAACACCTCCCACCAGGACTCACCTCCAGCATGGGGGATTACAGTTCAACATGAGATTTGGGCAGGGACAAACATCCAAAATACATGTATACCAAATTTTAACTGGTCATTGTGCATATACCAATATGGATGTATATGCCTAACTTCATTCAAAATTTAGAAATAAGTTTAGAAATAAATTTATTGAATGGAGCTCAAGGAAAGAGAACCAATACACTATTACAAAAAAGTAACAGTAATAGAAAAAAAGAATAATGATATTACAGGTTAGCAGTGTAAATGCTACTTTTATTCACAAAGAATGCTCTTTAGCTATACAATTATTGCTCCCATGATTATACTGTGGAAATTCTATGTAAGTCGTGAAATCACTGGGCATGGTGGGTCATGCCTGTAATCCCAGCAGCACTTTGGGAGGTGGAGGCTGGCAGATCATCTGAGGTCAAGAGTTCGAGACAGCCTGGCCAACATGGGGAAACCCTGTCTCTACTAAAAAAATACAAAAATTTGTCAAGTGTGGTGGCACGTGCCTGTAATCCCAGCTACTCAGGAGGCTGAGGCAGGAGAATGACTTGAACCTAGGAGACAGAGGTTGCAGTGAGCCGAGATCATGCCATTGCACTCCAGCCTGGGCAACAAGAATGAAACTCGATCTCAAAGTCATGAAAGCAGAGGCAGGGCATGGTAATGGTGTATGGAGAGCATGAGCCTTGTGTGCCTCCTTCCCAGCAGCAGCTAAGTGGCTGTGCAAAGTTCAGCTCAGCACACTGGTCCTCACTGTGCATGTCTTATCACATGACAGGGCTGCCTCATGGTTCCTCTTCTAAGGTGACTTCTAGCTCTGGCATCCTGAAATCCTTTCTTACCCTAAGTTTGCTTCCTCTCAAAAGTTTGCCCCGAAATACTTCTGTTGAGGAATTATGTTGATTTTATTTAGTAACATCAAAAGTAATATATTCTCTCGTCCACTTACTATATATTTTTAAATGCCATAAGCATTTTTTACAGTAAAGACCATTGAAACCAAATATATTTATGTTAGTTCTCCTTTATTTCAGATTACTTTTTTTATCTGTTCTTTCATTGTTGAGCATGCTTTTCCTTTTCATAGACTGAATTTTCTCTTGTTCAACATAAATAATATATAATTATTTATATAATTTATATATATGTAAAATTGATTAAAAAGTGAATCTAGAAACAAACATTTTGATAGCAAATCACATCAGGTGTATTTTTTCTTTTCTGGTTCTAAATGAGGAATATTGATATCTGCAGTTGCTTTTTTAACATGTAACTGGATATACAAGCTTGTAACTGTGTTTCCATCTGATGTGGCATTTATATGGATCCCTCTTGACTGCACACTGCCACATGGCTGGATGGGTGATGATATCCATGTTGGTTGTTCTTGTGAAATAGTATCCACAATTCAAAGCAGGCCATATCCAAATGAAAATATGTTCTTTTTATTTAAAATAAGCCTGTGAGGTGATTTTGGAGAGTATAAATTATCTCAGTTTTCGCTTCTCAAATTCTATGTAATACATTCCCCAGCTTTTCAGTGTCATTGAGATGACACATTTGGTATTTAGGAATATTAGCGTCTTAAAGGAAGCATAGATCTGTATTATATCTTTGTCTTTTAAGGCAGTTCATATATTTATGTCTGTGTAATTTCCATTATGGTTATATAAAATTAAAAATGTAGGAAAGTATGAATTAAATTGAATGCTATGTTAGATTTACACAGAATTTTTGGTAATTAAAGATAATTTTAAATAATCTTTAATGTGTAATTCATTTTTTCTGTTAATGAGAATTCTCATGTATTAGATTTATTCCAAGTAGAGTATCTATATATTTTTAATTTACTTTGTAAACATATGAATAACATTTTTCATGTATTTTTCTTTTTCTCCCTTTCTCACTCCCTCCTTCCCCACTCTCCCTCTTTTCCCTAAAGAAAATCCAGAAAATCCAATCCTTAATCAACTGCTTGATGAAGGAGGCAAAACAAAGGCAGCAGGAGATAATGTGATTGGTGCACAAAAGCTAAAGCAATGGCTGGGGCTTTGTTTTTAAATTTTGGGGGTTTTTGTTTGTTGTTGTTAATGAGCAGAAAGAGAGAGATAATGACAGCTGATGTACTTTCCATATTTATAATTAGATTCCCTAGGAGGTATAATATACATTTTTTGAGTAATAATGTGGTTACAGAATTCCAATGTTATAGTGAAGTATAATGAAAAACATATCTAGTATGTGCTTTAACCACTGCTGCAAAAGAGACAAGTCTGCATTTATTTGTGCAGGAAACCAGCTATTTAATTGTTCTAGAGTTTTAGCATTTAAAAATTCTATGAAAGTCTACATCAGCTGAAATTGTCCTAGCTTGATAATCTCTTGGAAGGGGACTTAGAAGGTAAAAAGATACTGCATTTTCTCATGACTCTCCAAGCCCGCTTGAAAAGTCACACTGAAAGGATGCAAATAGCTGTCTCCAATTTTGGCAGGCCTCCGGATTGTGGAGACAATATGTTGTACCCAGACATTCCCAAATTTAAATTTGGCAATGAAAATTCCACAAAGATTTCTGATAACTTTGAGCTATAAATACCTTAAAAATAATAGATTGATGATTTCTTTATTTCCTAGAGAATTTATTTTATAAATACTTTGTTTACATTTTAGATTGTACTTGTCCTTATTTAATTTAAAATGATGAATCTAGTCTGAATCAGCTGTTATTCCAAGCTATCATGCTTAAGCTATGTCAACAGCATTTGTTTGTACTAATGCTAATATTTCCATCTAAATTTGCCTGTGGAACATATACAGTCTTAATTTTAAACTGTCAGTTCTTGAGAGATACTGTATGAAGCTATTGTCAGCTTCTCTATTTCAAAATCAAGCATATAACTATATTGATACTAGAAAATATTTGTTTTTTTAAAATATATCAATGTATGGTAAAGATGATCTAATTTGTGAATGCACATGTGTGTGAGGTTAATTTTTATAATGTGAAATAATGAATAATGAATTTACTCAAAATAAAACATAGGTTAATAAGATACCTGTGTTTGTGAAAAAAGTTTTAAATACTTTCCTGCAGTTTTTATTCTGTAATTAAAGAGTAAGATAGTTCATTTGTAGGTAGTGAATAGGAGAAATATACCAGCGTCAACTGTAAGAGCACAGTTACTCAGTGTGAGATCTTTTCATGCCATTTGTTTTCATTTTTCCTTCCTTATGGCTTCTTTTTGTCTATTTTTAGTGATTCTTAATATCCTTTGCCAAAGGACAACCAGGTAAATGGAATTGTTATTATTCATTTTGTCAGTAGTTAAAATTCAGTAGGTATGAGAAATTTGACAGTACTGGTAAAGTAATCGATACACTCACTGTAGATTTCATTTAACTGTTTTCATTATGTCTCCTACTAGCACCAATAATGTGGAATTGAATATATTAAGATCTGGAGAATTTGGTACATAACGAGACATCAAAATTGCATCAGTTTTTCTGGTGCTTTGATTTATAGTCAGCATTTTGTTAAATAAAATGGAGAATTTTAATTTATTTGTTAAATGTGAATTTAGCAGAATTATAAGTTTTTATTTCCCATCATGCAAATGAGAGAAGGGCAAAATGATTTGACAGAAAAACAGCTACTACTTATAAAGTTCAGAAATGTAGAGCAGTCAATTGCAGTCTTATTCATAGGCACTAAATTATCAAAACAGTTAATCAGATTTACTTATGGAAGTGTATTTATTTTTTTTTGAAATGGATTCTTGCTCTGTCATGTGGGCTGGAGTGCAGTGGTGCAATTTGGCTCACTGCAACCTCCACCTCCTGGGTTCAAGCGATTTTCCTGTCTCAGCCTCCTGAGTAGCTGGGATTACAGGCATGCGCCACCATGCCCAGCTAATTTTTTTTTTTTTGTATTTTTAGTAGAGACGGGGTTTCACCATGTTGGTCAAGGTGGTCTTGAACTCCTGACCTCATGATCTGCCGGCCTCGGCCTTCCAAAGTGCTGGGATTACAGGTGTGAGCCACTGCGCCTGGCCAGAAGTTTTTTTTTTTAACAGAATATGTCATTTTATAAAATCTTTGAAATATTTGTTAAAATTATACTTCCAAGGACAGATATATAGAAACAGAATAAAAAACAAATTGGTGACAGTTAGGAATATCTATGTGTATCTCCATTTATACCAGAAACAAGATGGATACTTTTGCGAAAGTTCTCAGTTCAACAGCTTATCAAATTGATTCTTTAAACTAGTTGCATGACAAAGAAAAATCTCCCTCCATCTATCTGTACCTGTAGGGAAAAGGGACGTCTTCATCATCATTTTGTTAATGATTAAAACTTGCATTTTTAAGAATAAGTCCACAAATTTCACTAGTTAGCCTTATAAGCAAAAAAATTTTTACTGCAGAAATGGAAATAGGTCTATAAAGGATTTTACTTAATAGAGCTTAAATAAGGAGCACATAAAATTTTTCTTTATAACCTCATATACATTTAAAAAATCATTTCTATTATTTGATTTCCTGAGCTTGAATATCTTAGTCTGGAGATGAGTCAGTTTTGCTATACAATTAGTGGATGTATGAGAAATCTTTGAAATGAAACAGACTCTTCAGCTTGAGTAGAAGTTTTACAATGAGGATAAAATGAATTAGATTATTTCAGTAATCTGTTCTCAGTTGTTAACAGCATGTATGTGTGAGAGTGTATGATTGAGTGTAGGAACAATTTTTTTTTTTTTTGGAGATAGAGTCCCAGTGCAGTGGCACTATGTCAGCTCACTGCAACCTCCGCCTCCTAGATTTAAAGCAGTTCTCCACCTTAGCCTCCCGAGTAGCTGGGATTACAGGCGCTTGCCACGACGCCTGGCTAATTTTTTGTATTTTCAGTAGAGATGGGGTTTCACCATGTTGGCCAGGCTGGTCTTGAACTCCTGACCTTGTGATCCACCCACCTTGGCCTCCCAAAGTGCTGGAATTATTGGCGTGAGCCACCGCGCCCAGCAGGAACAATTTTTAAAACTTGACACATGTAATGGGGACTTGTACAATGTTAAGATTTCCCTGCTCAGTCGGAAACCCAGAATTTGTGTGTGTGTGTGTGTGTGTGTGTGTGTGTGTGTGTGTGTGTGTATGTGTGTGAGGTAAGTTACATTTTTTATTGGTCTGCGTTTTTCAGTCATGCCTGTGTACTTGGGAAATCTGAAACTGAGTGTCTTAGGAACTTCTTAAAGCAAATGTGGGGGAACATTAGAAAATACGTTTAAAATATAGAATAGGTTCATTTTCTACCTTAAAGAGTAATATGTTAAATACGGTTATTATGCTGTTGTTGCCTTGCAGTGGATGTGGTGGGAAGAAGACGGGTTTTTGATCTGCATGCTTTTGCATCCTTCAGTAGTAATGCACCTTTTTATAACTGGGTTTGGCCATACTGATTTCAGCGGGTATTGTGTTCTCACAGACTTTCTTTTCCAGATTTCATTTCTTAGAAGTGGGAAATTTGACTGAATTCTACTTTTTTTTCCTTTCTACTATTTTTCCACAGACAAATCTGACTAATTGAACACAAACAAGTGACTTAAGAATGTCGGAGTTAGTCCCCTGTCTTTGGCCCTGTAGGACATAGAATTGCCTGTCTCTTCATGAGTGTCAGTTAGTGCTCTTGGAATGAATACAGAAATGAATTTTGTTTTATTATGCAGTCTAAGCACTGACTTTTCATCATTCCAAAACCTGGATTGATTTTATACATAACCTGGAATGATGAAAAGTCAGTATTAAGACTGCACATTAATATTACCTATTCATATTACTCTGAATTACATTAATCAAACAACTAACAATAAATGAATTTTAGATTTGTTTAAACATTAGATAGCAGACAAACAGAAATCCAATTAGGCATTTAGTCAACATAGCTGGCACTCTATTCAAGATTCTCTGAATATACTCTCTTCTGTTTCTGTGACAGAAAATGCCTGCCTAAGGAAAATCAGAGATATTTGCCATTTCCCTTTTCACCCTGGGACAAAGTTTGTGCTTATGTTCTGTTTAACCCCCACAGGTAGCTGTAGTGCATGCTCTCTGTTTACCTGGTCCCCATCACGTGTTTTAGATGGAAGGAAGGAAGAATGAAAAGGGCTTGGGGACTAGACTCAGGAAAGGAAGGCCTCTGACTGCCACTGCCACACTGGGAGACCTTGGACAAGTGTTTTCTTCCCACTGAGATATAAGGTATGACTTATCCACTAGATGCAGAAGACAGTGCCCAGGGCTGACAGTACTGTAAGGGCTCATGAAGGTGTTTTGCTTAGCGCCATATGCTAGACATACAACTTTGAAGCTAGATAGACAACTTTGAAAGACATTCATCTTTTTACTAATGCAGCCATAAAACATATATACATGAAGGAAGGAGGAGTCTGCAAGGGTAAAAGTGCCTAGGGCCCATGAAAATAAGAATGTGGAAGTGTTTCTGGGTCCCTGTCTCTTTCCTCTGTAAAATGAAGGTAGATGATCTGTGATTCAGCCAATGGCCTCTGCCAAGTGATTTGATGCACCATGGCAGCAGATGCTGTCAACAGGACTGATTAGAGCTGTTTTCTTCTGATTTCAGCCAGCAAGAAATGATTCTATAATAGATTAAGATAAAGCACTTATTTTGCACCACAGAGAAGTAAAGAGAGAGAAGCACATGACTCAAGGAGAATGTGTACCTGCCTTCCTCCCAAAGGCTTTATCTTGACATAGTGTTCTCACCTACAGCTTTTGACAAATCCAAATATGTGAGCAACAGAGAAAAGATATTCTACTCAGCTAGTCTTCAGCCAAATAACTAAGGCTCTTAGAAACAGGTAAAATACCAGACAGATTGCACAAACATCTTAAAAATATATATATCAATTTAATGCTTTTGTAATAGTACTCCCTTATTCATGGTTTTGCTTTCTGCAGTCTCACTTAACCATGGTCAACCATGGTCCAAAACCATTAAACGAAAAATTCCAGAAATAAACAATCTAGAAGTTTTAAGTGGTATGACATTCTGAGTAGTGGGATGGAGTCTTGCATCATTCTGCTATGTCCCACCCCACCCAGGATGCAAATTCTCCCCTTGCTCAATGTCTCCACACTATCTATGCTCCTTGCCTGTGAGTCACTTAGTAGCCTTCTCTATAATTAGTTTGAATGTCATTGTATTGCGGTGCCTGCATTCAAGTAACTCATTTTACTTAATGTTGTTACTGTTAATCTCTTAACTGTGCTTAATTTCTAAATTAAACTTTATCATAGATATGTATAAGTAGGAAAGAATATATATAAAGTTCAGCACTATTGACCGTTTCAGGTGTCTGCCAGGGTCTTTGAGTACATCCCCCTCAGATGAGTGGGGACTACTGTAACACCCTAAACTAGTTAAGAACAAAAGGGAAACTCTCTCCTGCCATCCATTGCTGGTATCCTGTGTGGGTTTGATACTTCAGATTCAGCATCTACTGTGCCCTAAGTGCTTATGCATGTCCTGAATCATAGGAGAGTCGGATTCACCACCCTGCCCAGAAACAGAGGCATTCCAGAGGTTTCTTCATAGATCATGAAATGAAATGGCCGGTCCACTTTGATGACAGGAGGCATGGAATAAGCAATAATTTCTGACAGGGTTCCTGCCACTGCCTCAGTGCCCCTTTCATCAACTTCAATCACTGCTCTTTGTAAAACCTGGAAAAGGAAATAATGTGAAAAACCACTTGTGTGACAGTGCAAAGGAGGAATTAATTGAGACCCTTGAAGTTCTTCACAGTGGTCCTACCATGGGGTCATGCTCCTGGTATTTAGTGGAGCAGGCCCATCTGTGTTAAGAGGAGTGGTCTGGGGTTGCACCAGGGACTGCCACAGGAGTAGACCTCAGGAACCCAATGTGAAGTAGTATTGTGGAATATGTGAAACACATTCT